TTTGGGTTTAGGGTTTGGGGCTTAAGCTTTTGGGGGTCTGTTGTCGTAGCTTCTGTCTGATATACGGGCCTTAATACTTAGAATAGGGTTTTGGACTGTCTTACACTGTAAATATAAGAAGGAACCCCCCAAAGAGTATAGGTCATTATTAAGGCCCATATATTATTGCCTGTGCTACTATCTATGAAGCTATCTCGTTTCCGTTCTTTTGGCAACAGAGGCTCAGATGCTAAAAAATTTCCAACAAGAAAAGGTCGAACAGCTGGGGGGATGACAGTAAATTGTTGATTTCTGGGATTCTCTGGGTGGGTGGGTATTTTTCCAAAACTCCAAACGGCGAGCTCGACTAGATACTGCTTGATCCGGATCTTCTGAACCACAAACCCTAAACCCTAACCCGCCAGGGCACAGGCCGACGATGGCACTTACGGAGATGAGCACTACGAACAACAGCAGCGCGTAGTCGCCTCCCAAGAAAACAAGTTCTGGGTTCAGGGTTTAGGGTATTTAGGGCTTGGGGTTTAGGGCTTTGGGCTTCGGGCGTAGGGTTTCAGGCTTGGGGCTTATGGGGTTTATGGGGTTTTGGGCTTAAGTCTCAGGGTTTAGGGTATTTAGGGTTTAGGGTACGTGTGACACATCCAGGGTGTTCGAGCTGGTGGGGGGTCAACGACTGGGTTCCCTGGCCTAAAAAGATTCAGGGTTTCAGGCTTAGTGTATCTAAGTTATGGTAGGGTTTCTTCTCCTCAAAGGAGCCTTGCTGGTCTCCTGAATACAGGATCGGAGTGTTTCACCAAAGGGTCCCTATATCTCATGATAAGTGCCTCCATAAAGGGAGCTTGGAGCCTATGGACTTCCAAATGTCTAAGGGACTCCCAAAATAGCATAGGCAAATATTTAGGCCCCTGGATTTTCCAGCACAGGTGTATTTTCATTGCAACGTGTTTGGATGCTGTGCTCTTTGGCCTGAAATTCTAAACCCTGAAACGCCCAGCCTGTTCACCGTGGGCTCGATCTTATTAGGGTTTAGGGTTGAGGGTTGAGGGTTTAGGGTTTAGGGTTTAGGGATCGCCCACACCCTCGTGTCATCCCCTTTGGAGGCCTTGCACTTCCTTACTCCGTTCTAAAATTGAACCAAGCACCGACAACATACCGAATTACAAGACCCAACAATATCCTACAGCACATACCTAGAGGGCCACAAACCGAGCACCTAAAACCTTACTCCTAACTGCAAAAACCCGACGAACCTTTAAACCTCGTGTCACGGAGCCTCGAAGCGTCAAGCACGACGAATTCCGAACAAACGAGTGCGGGCGGTTGAGTTGTAAGTTATTGCATTCCGGACATCTAGCGTGCAGGATTCGGACGGTTTAAGGTTTAGGGTTTAGGGTTTAGGGTTTAGGGTTTAGGGTTTAGGGTTTAGGGTTTAGGGTTTAGGTGTCTAAGGTTTCCGTGACAGGGTGTTTACGGTTGGGTCGATTAGGCTCAAGCCCTGCAGTCGGAACCCAAACTCCTAAAACCAGAATCCAAGCCCGAATTCGAAATGCAAACCCCCCTTCTGTTGTACTATAGAATCCGAAATAATTACCAATATTATTCCTTTCAGTTCCTTATAATAATCCTGCTATAAAGGAGCCCCAAAACCGTATTCTAATTATTAAGGCGTCTACGTTAAAGCCTTGACCTGAACCCCAAAGCCCTGTAGCATTGATACCACGGTTTAGGGCTTAGGCTTCATGGTTTAGGGCTTAGGGCCTGTATAATCGGAAACAGACGTGGACACTGCTTCCTGCAGCAAAAACACGAAGTCTTGAGACTGACATACTGACCTCAGAGCCTAACCCTAGCCCCTAAACCCTGAACCCGGACAGAACTTTTTAGGCTCAAGGCTTCATTAGGGCTTAAACCCCACAACCCTGAGCCATGAAACCCGTACTGTCCAAACTCCAAGCCCTGAAAACGCAAAACCAAAATCCGAAACACTGAAACCATGCGCAATAGTATTTCCCTTAAAGCCCCTGCGCAACAGACGATGCACCCGAAACCTGATCTAAACTTTGCTAGACCTAAACCCTACACCCTATAAACCCTAATATAGGAGCCTAAATAGTTACCTATACTATTTTGGGGGGTTCCTTATTATAACTATGTATAATATACCCCAGAACCCTATTCTAATTTTTGGGGGCCCTACATTATCCAGGGGCGAGTGGCCTCCAGCGCAGTCCCAGCAGTAGCCAGCGTCGACGGCCCGAAGCCCGGGGAGGCAATCATAGCAACTCACCTTCCGTTTTGGGCGCCGGGATTCCAGTTTCGGCTCTGGGGAGGGTTTATGGTTTAGGGCCTAGTTTAGGGCTTAGGGTTTAGGTGTTAGGGTTTTGTAAAGTCTTCAGAAGCCCTTTGAAGGGGCTTTATCATGATGTTGAGGACGTGTTTTGTGTGGGTTTTACACTTAGGGCTGGCTCGGGTTTGGGATTCAGGGCTCGGAGCTTGGCTATTAGGACTCACCCGAAACGCTCAGTCCCAACTACAAGACCAACCCGGACTTGCGAACCTGCAAACCCTACACGCCAAAATACTTTAACCTACAAGAGGCCGAAACTCCCGAATGTCAGAGACCTAAACCCTGAAAACCCAAAACCCCCTACGGTTCACGAAGCTTCGGCCTAGAGTATCCTAGAGTATTACTTCCCTCCGGGCTTAGCGTAGTTCCGAGGGCATACTCGGATCGCACCTCATACCCGGCGAGGCGGAATTGAAATCCCGGAAATGATTTCGGTCATGTCGTCGCATAATACCAATACTTGGAGGCCCAGGGGACTTAGTAAGCAGGTTATAAGAGGAGCTATAAGTACCCTAAATGGAGTTACCCCAATTATAACCCTACTTATTACCGACTTCCTAAGTCCCCTAGGCCTCCAAGTATAAAGGCCTTTGCAACTAGCATAGGGTTTTGGTGTACATTATAGTAGTCAAGTTACTACACAGAGACTACAAGGAGATACTAGTACTGGTCGTTCCGACCTCTAGATTAGAAGGCCCTCACCACCGATACAAACTCCCTGGCATAACTCGCACCGCTGCCAGCAGGTTCGCATTGCCCTGGAGAGTAAGCTTTGACTGTCTAAACTAAAACCCTGAACCCTAAACCCGAAACCCTAAACCATTGACCCTGAACTCTAAACCCGAAACCCTAAACCATTGTCTAAACCCAAACCCTGAACTCTAAACCCGAAACCCTAAACGATTGTCTAAACCCAAAAACCCTGAACTCTAATCACTAGAGTCACCTGGTATGGGTGGACATTGACAGTGATAATATAGGACCTTAATAATTAGAATAGGGTTTTGGGCGGGGCCCATTATTATCCTATACTTATAACAAGGACCCCCCCCAAAAAAAAAAAAATAATAATAGTATTGGCAATTATTTAGGCCCCTACATTCATTTCCCAGAGCCCGGAATACAAGAGGCTGTGCGTCCTTAGGGCCTTCGGGTCGGGGTTTCAGGGATAATATATATGGGCCTTAATAATTAGAATAGGGTTTGGGGTTATATCAAAAAGTCTATTTATAGTAAGGAGCCCCCCCAAAAAAACTCTGGTCTAATTATTAAGGCCCCTATATTAGTTTGGGGTTTAGGGTTTGGGGATACGGTTGACCTTCTTGCTGCGGAACCGCAAGTGGAACTTCGTTCACACAGGGCTTGGGGCTTTGGGAACTGAGGAAACATCATCCCTTTGCTCCAACGCATCTTTGAAGGGCCCTAAACCCTAAACCCTAAACCCTTTTTGAAGGGAGCTGTAGGAACAAGCTGGAACACGAGCCAGCGCATCACGCTCCGGGCTTGAAGGTGTAATACGTACAGACTTCTGCATCGAGCAATACCCGACAATCCTCTAAATCCCTAAGCCCCAAAACCCTAAACCCCTTCACCCTAAACCTCCGGAGTCCTTAGCTCTAGGTTTGGCTTCCGCCTGGGGCATGCTTGCGCAGCGACCCTATTTCCGGCAAGCCTTACATCATGAAATCAAGGCTAGGCACCGCTTGTAGTATATAGCAGAGTATTATTGCATACTGTATGACTCTATCATGTTCTGGTATGTGAAGCGTCGCTCAAAGATGGGTAGGTGGGAGCCCTGTTTTTTTTGTGCTTTGGTGCCACGACCCTAAAGCCCCAAGCCCAAAACCGGATAGCTTTAGGGTTTAGGGTTTAGGGTGTAGGGTTTAGGGTTTAGGGTTTAGGGTTTAGGGTTTAGTCCTCCAAGGCAAGTGGCGCTGTCGGTGTCCCGGCCAGGTGCACAAGTCCCCGGTTGGCCCCCGGGGCAGCGCAGCTTGTTCCCGAAGCACTCGTAGACTTCTCCTGAAGTGCTTAGTGGTTTAGGGTTTAGGGTTTAGGGTTTAGGGTTTAGGGTTTAGGGTTTCGTAGACTTCTCCTGAACTGCTTCTGGCTTGGGCTGGATACGGAGTGTGGGACTCCCATAAGAGAGGCGGAATACTTCACATGATTTTGCCGAGAGTTTCTCCGATTGCTGCCATGGAATCGCAGCATGTGCCTGGGAATGTAAACAGATATGTGCGTGCATATCTATAGACGCATATATACATACGAAGATGAGTTAGTTAGCTAGTGGTTTCGTTCGTTGGGTTGGTTGGGTTGGCTGGCTAGTCGGTTGGCTGGCTATACGTTTGATCTAGCTGGCTAGCCAGACAGCAAGCCAGCCAGAGCCCCTTCCTTCGTCTGATGGTCCGTCAGATAGTCCATTAGTTTGATAGTTCGTCAGTTAGTAGGCCAGAGCAAGGTGGGAAAGGTTGGGCTAAGGTAGGTTAGGCTTAGGTTGTGTCAGCTTTGGGCAAGTTACAACACTCCGCACAACCGCAAACCCTAAAATCCTAACCCCTAAACCCTAAATAACAACAAAACCCCAAACCCTAAACCCTTTTGGAACTCTTCGAGCCCCCCAGTTTGTGTAAGCCCCCCAGCCATCCCCAAAGTTTAATTCACCCTAAACCCTAAACCCTAAACCCTAAAACCCCTAAACCCTAATTTGTCTACGGGCCTGGCTTCTCCAGCGCGGAGAAGTAGCCCGGAAGCACCGTCAACAGGCCGGAGCCGGGACAAGTCGATCCTGGAACAGGTGGCTTTAGGGTTGTCCTTTTCAAATTAGGGTTTAGGGTCTAGGGTTTAGGGTTTACTTAGGGTTTAAGCTTTAGGGTTCAGGGTTTTCAAATTTTCAAACTTCGGTGTAAGGAATCGAGGGCTTCGAGGGCTTGCAGGGCGAAAAAGAATACCCTCAACCCTAAACCCTCAACCCTAAACCCTAAACCCGCTTCGGATTTTCATGGTTTCTAGGTCGGACGCGCAAAGCGTCGGGAGGTTGGGGTTTCAGTTTCCTTTAGGGCTTATGGGCTTCAGGAACTCAAGATTGGTTTAGGGTTTAGGGTTTTGGGGTTCAATGTAGGAACCTGATTAAGAAACCCTGGTCCTTGTAACCCCAAAAATAGTAGTATCCATACAAAGAACCCTCAAGGGCCCAGGGTTTCTTAATCAGGTTGCTACAGTAGGGTTAACAGATGATCAATTGTACCATGGTTGTGGGGCTTCTGTTGTCTCTGGGGCTGGAAGGGTTAAGGTTTGGAGTTCAGGTTTGGGGTTTGAGGGTGAAATAAAGACGCCTTAACAAGTAGAATAGGGTTTTGGTGTATAATATACTATAGTTATAATTAGTTATAATAAGGAACCCCCAAAGCCCTATTCTAGATATTAAGGCCCCTACATTAGGCGTCTCGGGGCGTCGTGCTTGGGGTTTAGAGTTTAAGGGTGGCGGGTGCTCCGCGATTCTATAGGTTCTCTTGGCGTTGCATGTAGCCACAGAGGCTTTCCGGCGTTCAGATTGAAGCTGTAGGCTTTGGTGGTGATGGTTTAGAGAACGGAACCTACGTGTCGGGAATCTTTGGGGAACTAAAGGTTTACCCTTGGGGTTTTATAGGGACAAGAGTACACCAAAAGAGTTAAAAGCTACCGATTCCTACTACTAAGTCAGAGAACTAAACCCTAAACCCGGCAAGACGAGCCTTCCATGCATTTCTGGCACTGGCCATTGTGCAAGAAGTAGCCCTCTACCTTGGACACACGGATCCGAAGCCCTGGAGAAACCCTAAAACGTAGACCCTTAACCCTTAACCCTTTTCCCTCAACCACTAAACCAACCCTCAACGCCTTAAGTCCCAAACCCCAGAAGCTGCAGAAACCTTAACACCTAAATCCTGAACACTCCAAGCCCCAAACTCAAGGAGCAGATCGAAATGGAGACCAAGTCTACTCGGGGTGCTGCTGTTTTCCCAAGGCTCTAAGGACCATATTCCCAGCACACAGAGACCATACTCTCCCTACACCCTACACCCCTAAACCCCTGAACCCTGAACCCTAAACCCCTAAACCCAGGTCTCAATGCCTTGGGCGATATTCACCCTTAAGGTTAACATGCGCAGATTTGCCAACCCAGGGCTTCAGAGATGTGTTGGGTTTGAAGCTATAGCATTTTCAGGGTTTCGGGGACCCCCGGCTTAGAGCGCAAGGTCCTGTTTAGGGTTTCGGGCTTTCTGGCTTCTCGGATGTCAGACTGCATCAGGCTTTGAAAGTGGGAATTATTTGAAGGTTGGCGCGACGAATACCTACGCCCCGCCGCCAGACGCGCCCAGTTCAAGATCGGATGGGGAATGCAGAGCCAGCCCGGCGTGCACACTCGGCTTGCTCCTCAGCCGCATGCTGTCGAGCTCTCCACAGACACACGATATCAGGTCCAAAACGGCCGGAACGGCTCGACTTCGAACGGCCCGACAGTGTCGAGTCCCGCGTTTGCCACAGGTGGGTAGTGCGAACGCTAGCTTGGAGGACCATGGGACTTAGTAAGTAAGGTTAAAAGTCCCTAATTGGGGTTATAAGTATACTTACCTTAGTTATAACCCTACTTACTAAGTCCCATGATCCTTTAAGTGTGGGCCTTGGCAAGAGCGCTCGCAGCCGACCGACAGATGCGAAATGCTTTGGAAAAAAAACCATGCTTGGATACGCCTGCATGGGTTTAGGGTTTAGGGTTTAGGGTTTAGGGTTTAGGGAGGTAGTCGGGAATATGAAAATGGCAGAAGGCAGCATCGAAAAGCTCCGTCTGCCAGCCCTCGCTTTGCCAAACAAACGAGGAACTGCACCCCTCGCCGCAACAGGGAATAACTAGACTTTGAAGTAACCAGGGCTAAAAAAAAATAGACTTCACTTTCATAATGGTTCCCTTAAGGAACAGGTCCCCCAAAAAAAGTATTCAAGTATGGTACTCCAGAACCCAGTTAATTGTCCAGAGTCGAGATCTGCTCTTGGAGTGTTCCGCCCTGCGGCAAAGTAGAGGTTAGCCGTCCCAATCCCCCTAACCCGGCACGCTAAGCCTGACCCTAAACCCTGACTCTTGACCATAATGCAACGCTACCTCCGTTACAGTATCATTCTGGTAGAGTCGCGACACGGGGGGTCGTGACTTCAGTCAACATAGATCCCTGCTATGGTAAGCTACCAAAAGGGGATCCCCTATAGTCTATAGTTCGCGGTAGATCCCTACTACGGCAACCTAAAGAAACGTTCCTGAACAAGACTTCAGTCTCAGGAGCACATACACAGAAGCTCGGTGAGGACGCCCCTGTGATCTGGATCCACTTCTCCTGCGCACGAGGGAACGGCCTTGGGTTTAGGGCTTTTCTTTTGGGGGGGGTTAGGGTTTGGGGTCCGAAACCCTGCAAGCCCTATAATCCCTGAACCTTTGGTGCTCAGACTTTCGCGATGTGCGGTGCTTTTATCGTCTTCGGCGATCGCCGGCTTCTGCGGTTTCTTGGCGCCAGAAGCCTCAACCCTGCGACTCCCTCAAAGGACTGCCTTCTTGAGTTGAAGTACCCAAGAAAATAAAAACGCTACACAACTATGAGAAAGTTGCCTTGAAGCCTGAAGCCATAAGACGCTTACCTGCTCAATTCGGGGAGGTGGCAACAAATGCACACGAGTGTGGCCGGAAGACAACAGTGCAAGTAATAGAGGGGCCTCAATATTAAAATAGGGTTTTGGGGGCCCTTTCTACTATACTTATAATAACGAACCCCCAAAACAGTATAGGTAATTGTTTGGGCTTCTATATTAACCTCATTCCTTAAGAACGCCAGGAGGCTATTGGTGTGCTTGGAGACGAAAAACCTCGAGTAAAACCTTACAAAACCTCAGACACCCCTTTAAATCTTCACAACCCTACCAGAGCGAGACCTCCCCGCGGTCAATGACTGCACGGCTCGTCGTCCAAACTTCACTGCCATCTGCACAAGGAGTGCACACCTTATCGAGTGGTTGAGGGCTTTCGTTTAGTGTTTAGGACTCAGAGTTTAGGTTTGGGGTGTAGGGTTCGGTTTGGGATTTGGAGTCTAAGATTTCTGCTTCAGACTGCAGGATGTGGGGTTCAGGGCTTTGGGTTTGGGCTTGGGCTCAGGGCTTACACATTGGGCTTTTGGAGGGACTGGCAAGTCTGGGCTTTGGGCTAGGGTTTGGGATGGACGTGTGTATTTACGTATGTACGTATGTATGTATGCATGTATGTGAGCATGTATCTAAGCATGCAAGCAGGCAGACATGGATGTATGTCCTTCTGCATGTATGGATGCTTATGTGTCAAACTTAATCAGCTGTAGACGTAGCAACAGCAGTATGAACACTGACAAGCTAGAGCAGAAAACACGTTGAACAAACCCTAAGCCGTTAACCCTAAACCTCTAATCCTTAAGCCCTACACATTAAGCCCTAAAAGCTGTTCAGTTAGTTTTGAGCCTAAGACTGCCGTAAGGTTGGAGACTTGCAGATACCAGCACAGACACAGACATGCCTTCAACCAAAAACACCCCCAGTGCTCTCCTACCAAGAACCCGGATCGTTCCCAAGGCCTTTATAGGAGCTGAAAGGGCTTGATGCGGGTTTTAGGTTTAAGGGTTGGGGCTTAAGATGGCTTAAGCTCAGGGATCGGGGCTGGGGGCGTTGCACTGGGGTGCAGAGACTCTTGTAGACAAGGAGTTTCTGAGATTGATGATCCCGAAGACCCTCGAATGATTTGAAAGGGTTTCTGTAGGGTTTAGGGCTTAGGGTCTAGGGTAGTCCTAAAGCGTAAACCCTAAACCCGCAATGGGGCTGCACTTCAATTCCTGAGGCCGCGGGCTAAACACATGTACGGCGAGGACACCACAAGGGCAACTTCATGTCCAAGTGGCCGTCATTCCAGTTCCCTAAACCCCGAAACCCTGAACCCTAACAAATTCATGTCCAAGGGGCTGTCATTCCAGTTTCATTTGTGTAGCTGCCGAGGTCGCAAGGATTGCCTTTTCAGCACGCGGCTGTTTAAAGACCTCGACCCTTAAGGTAGGGGCCTTAATGATTAGAATAGGGTTTTAGGGGTTCCTTGTTACAGTTATAGTATACTATACCTCCAAACCCTATTCTAATCATTCAGGACCCTACATTATGTAAGATACTAAAAGACTGGAGCAGTCTTCTATGGTTATGAGTGGCTTTCAACGGGGCTATCAAGGCACCCTAATCCCAAGCTCTGAAGACTTGTCAAGAAGAACTTCACTGGGAACCGGTGCATCGCACATCCTCAAAAGCTCAACCGTGACAGGGGTCTACGTTTCAGCTCCTGGACTGCACCCCTACTTGGAGGCCCAGGGGACTTAGTAAAGGTTATAAGTAGAGTTATAAGTACCCTAAATGGAGTTACCCCAGTTACAACCCTACTGATAACCGACTTACTAAGTGCCCTGGGCCTCCAAGTAGTCACTCCCGAGCCATGGGTGCTGCTGCCTGAAGCCTCTACCTCTTAACCTGGGGCTTCCAAGCTTTCAGCTGCTCACTGTCCAGTATCTCAGGGGAACTAAAGGTTAATCGTTACAACAGGCAACAGTTTCAAACTCTGAGCCTCATGCTGCCTGAACCCGAGACTCGATACCCCACATGTACTTCACTCCAGTAAGCAATAGCGAATCGCACCCCAAGCTAACACTGAATAAGGGTCGAAACATTCACTAAGGGATCGTAGATTGCTAATCTAGCAATTTTCCGGGCATTATATAGAGCGGCGGCATCGTTACAAAGTTGAATGCATTTTCCACGTGAAATGGACCTTGTCGGCTCGGTGGGGCAAAGCATGAATCGCGCTAAGGAATAATCCTTGTTTTGTGGGGTCACGGGGCTCGGTTTAAGGTTTTTGTTGGGTACTAGGCTTAATGTGTCTTTCGGGCATGGGGGTACATGATATATTCTTATGAAATCCTTCTGTTTAAATGGTCTTCTGGTGCCCAGAGATTCCGGGCTTAAGCCCTGCAAGAAAATCCCAAACCTACCAATCCAGGATGCAGAATTTCAGTGCTTTTGCACCCTGATCCCCAAACCCTAAAACCGTAAAACCTGAACCGTAGTTTCAAGAGTCTCAACCCCAAACAACCGTTGCAGCCCCTCAACAGCTCCCAGGAAACATGCACGCTTTACAGCGTCTTTGTGCGGTTGATTAAAAACGGAATTTATGGTGCAAAAGGGGTTCTACCTAGGGCTTCGGGATCCACAAAGACAAGTTCCTGCGACCAAGTCACACTCCACCTGCCCTTGTGAAGGGGCCACCTGAAGCCGAAGCGGGTGGGCTTAGGGTTTGAGGTTTAGGGTTTAGGGTTCGGGATTTAGGGTTTAGGGTTTAGGGTGTAGGGTTTAGGGTTTAGCCCTAAACCCTAAACCCTAAAGCATGGTTCGGGGTTTACTTGGCTTGCGGCTTGGGGGTCACCATCGCCGCCACTCTTTACATTGTGCTGATTCTGCAAGATCGCCCGGAAGAAGATGATGATGCTGATAGTGATGATGACGACGACGACGATGACGATGATGATGCTGATGATGATGATGACGACGACGACGATGACGATGACGATGACGATGATGATGACGACGACGATGACGATGACGATGACGATGACGATGACGATGGCGATGGCGATGGCGATGGCGATGGCGATGACGATGAAGATGAAGATGATGATGGTGATGGTGATGGTGATGGTGATGGTGATGGTGATGGTGATGGTGATGATGATGGTGATGGTGATGACGAAGACGATAATGATGAAGATGAAGAAGAAGATGGAGATGATCTTGAATATGATGATGGTGGTGATGATGATGGTGATGACGCTGATGACGATGATGAAGAAGAAGAAGAGTATGATGATGATGATGATGATGATGATGATGGTGATGATGATGGCTGAGATGAAGACGATGACGATGATCATTGGTGAGGTGAGGTGAGGTGAGGTGAGGTGAGGTGAGGTGAGGTGAGGTGAGGTGAGGTGAGGTGAGGTGAGGTGAGGTGATGTGATGTGATGTGATGTAATGACGATGATGATGGTGCTGGTGATGATGATGATGATGATGATGATGATGATGGTGGCGATGGTGGTGATGATAGTGACGGTGATGGTGACGGTGATGGTGACGGTGATGGTGATGGTGATGGCGACGGTGATGATGAGGAGGAGGAGAATGAGGAGGAGGAGGAGGAGGAGGGGGATCCCGATGACGACTGTGAACCTTGTGGTGTTGGTGGTACAATGTTGCCGCTACTGACACTGGTGGTTCAGCCGAGCCATTTCAGTAGTGCTACTTTTCCTAGCGCGCATGTCACAGCCACAGCCACAGTTGCATCACTGTTCTTGCCATTGCTGACTACTACTCTACGTGCTCGTCGTCATTGTTAGGTCTCTTTTGTTATAGCAGTACTGCTGCGTAAGAAGCACCGTTCACTTCTTTCTGGAACACACCCGCAGCCCTAACCACCTGGCAACATGAGCCGTCCACTGAGCATCCTTTTACAAGGATGGCGAATGCCCAAAATCACAGAACCCTCCATTCGTCCGAAAAGGCAACTAAACGAAACCCCTTAGCTCTAGTTCCCAACACCCTAAGCGTAAGCCATCGAGCCCAATCTTATGAGAAGAACGCTTGTGGAACCCTCATCGACTTATCGAACCCTTTAAACACACCAACAAGAAGCCTTCTCATTCTAAAAAATGAAAAACTTGCACTTTAAAAAAAATGAAAAAAGTTAAAGTATCTAAGGAACATCTTGAATTATAGTACTCCTTGAAAGAACGGAGTTCGACCGAGTCCATGGCCGTGCCCGCATCACAGGCGCTGCACGAGGTCTCCCCCTGCAGGCTCTGCGCCTTGCCTGGTTGAGGGTTTAGGGGTTTCGGGTTTAGGGGATTAGGGTTTGTTTTTTAAGTGCGATGGTTTAGGGTTTAGGGGTTTAGGGTTTAGGGCTTCGGGTTTAGGGGTTTAGGGGTTTAGGGATGTAGGTTTAGGGGTTAGGGGTTTAGGGCTTAGGGTTTCGGGTTTAGGGATGTAGGTTTAGGGGTTTGGGTGTTTAGGGGTTTAGGGCTTAGGGTTTCGGGTTTAGGATTTCTGTGTTTAGGGTTTGGGGGTTTAGGGCCTGGGGTTTCGGGTTTAGGATTTCGGTGTTTAGGGCTTGCAGGATTAGGGCTTAGGGTTTAGGGTTTAGGGATTTAGGTGTTTAGGGTTTAGCGATTTAAGTGTTTAGGGTTTAGGGGTTTAGGGTTTAAGGTTTAAGATTTAGGGTTTAGGGATCTAGTGTCTAGGGTTCAGGTTCAAGGTTAGGAAAGATGTAAGACGCGGATTTAGAAGGCACTTTGTCCGATTCTTAGATGCTTTTCTATGAAAGGTTGATGTGCTTTAAGGGTATGTAATACAAGGGTTCAGAACAGGTCGGCTCAACCATGCAAGAAAAGTGTTGTGTGACAGAAAGGCTTCTCTCTGAAAGGCTGAGGCACAGCAAGCTGCAGGCGATGTTCATTCTTGTCGGATGCTGCGTAGGTATGGTACTCCAAAGGAGTGCGGGCACTGTCCCTATACTTCAAGCTCCAAAACCGTAATGCATGAACACAAAAAAAACGTCTTGATCCTGGCTCTGCTGCATTGCATCCTTCCTTCGCACGACTGTTGCACACTACCTTGTGGGCCTTGGTCTGGGGGGCTAGCTTCGTGATTAGGGTCCAGGGTTCAGGCTCAAAGTTTAGGTAGGGCTTCGGTGATGATTGCTGGCGGCAGATTACGACTTACGAATGCGGCTGCTGCTGCTGGTGCAGCTGCCGCTGCCGTTGCCGCTGCGGCTGCTGCTGCTGCTGCTGCCGCTGCCGCTGCCGCTGCCGCTGCCGCTGCCGCTGCCGCTGCGGCTGCTGC